CCATGGGATTCATCAATTTCAGCCATTTTGTCATCATTTTAGACATAAAAACTTCATTACAAAATAATACTTGTTTTCCATCTCATTCATATCAAGAATTTGCTTTGCATCACATATAACATCAACACAACCAAACCCAAACCATACTAAATAAGCAGTATTGCATTCCGCAGCAAAGCAGAATGTACACCTTGCTTCTTAATTTACATTTATTCATTTCCATCAAAGAATATGCTTTTCATTGACGAAAAACTCACTTTTCCTAACTATATTAATCTTCCCTTCCTCAAAGATCAATTAGTCAAAAAAATTAAAGAATTAAGAAAGCAGGACTCCTATTGTCATGAACTTTAAGTTGAGGACAGCAAATATAAAATTTTTTCCAGTGTATGGCCAAGAGCAAAAAGTTTAAATCTCACCATCAGCAACAAAACAATATAGGTCACACAATTTTGGAAATTAAAGTATTAAACTTTTGAATCTCCTCCAAAATGCATGTCTTGCAGGAAACTTACACATCCAATTAAACAAAGACGGCCAGAATCATGAAAAAGTTACATCCTTGTGAAGCAATTCATTAACTGTAATCAAAGTTAATTTATCAGTTTCAGAATTTTCCCCAGTAGATTCCTTCAACTTTTTATCTTTTCAATATAAGGATATTTATATGTCAAAATAACTACTTGGAGTCCTCGACATCAATCTCCTCTTCCAATCTACTCTATTTAGGGGCGTGTTCATATACAGTAAAAGTTTATCATGTCATATTTAGTTACCCAAAAGACATGTTCTTTTGGTCCACCTCTTCTTCACCTTGACTTCTGCTACCCAATCAACTCATCCTCACTGAGCATCATCCGGGCACCTTCGCAAAGCTAAAACCTACTCAATTCCATCTTAGTTTTCCTTCTCAATATCCTAACTTTACATTTTCCTAGTCAGCACTTCCAATCTCCAATCCTGTTTTCTTTCTATCTGTTTCATTTTCAAAAATCTATGTTGCAGTCCTAAATACCTCTTACTTATACAAAGAGGACATTATTCCCCAATTGACAAACAGCTCAAATTACACTCAACATTCTAATACCAAAAACCAAAAAAAAAAAAAGAAGAAAAGACAGAATACTGCACATATAAATAAGAATTTTTTTCTAGAAAAAAAAAAGACATAAGAGAAAAAGAGGTACTATAATTACCATCATCACGGTCATCAGGGCCGTCATGGGATGTGCCACCAGCCTCATATACCATCTCGAATTCGTTAATCTGCATTCCAAAAGATACAGACTTTACATTCAGGAAGGGGGGAAAAAATCAGCCCCAATCATAGCAACGCTTTATCATCCCAACTCAACCTACCTAGAAATAAAGGAGCAGAAGCACCAAGCAGATATATCATATAAGTGCTGTCACAGCTGACAAAAAGGTCTTCAATGGAGGATCAGAGCTCGAAATTAAACTCCCTTCAACCAACTAAAATTCTTGGAGTCCCCCACCGTAGAAAGAACTGAATACAGAATAAAAGGCATGTGCAAAGATTGAGACTTGGTGGGTTCTTGTGGAATAGGATCTTGGATTATGTGAATACAGATTTCTTTGTATGGGTTTTTTTTCCCCCTTTTTTGGGATATATATAAGCTTGGAAGTTCGGAGTGTAAAGTATCGGGGAAAATAAATAAATAAACTTAAGGCGGTTTTGGGACAACCAGGCTGGACGACGGACGCTGGAGCTAGGCTATATATACACAGCAAATATATTGGGTGAGCCCAGTCCATGAACCCGCTTATAGACCCTGTGGTACTTAAATAGCCACATCAGCGTAGCCTTTTTCTCCGCAATTAATTTACAATTTTTATTAGCAAGCAAATCCGATAAACTCAGGTTTGCCATATCTGGGTTTGACCACTTGTCGTTGAAGTGATGGAGGCGAAAAGAAAGAGAAGATTAAGGTGACGTTTGTTAAGAGGGTTTCGAAATGGAGAATTGAAATAAATTTCGTAATTATTGTTTAGATTACTAGTATCAAAATTAGGATTTTGAAATCATATTTAAAAATTTGGAATTCTCCAATTCTCTAGCAATCTGGAGGGTTTTGAACAAAGTCTGATTCCTACCTGATTTATCAAAAACTAGGAATGGCAATTAGGACATCCATCACGTGAGGGGCTAATGCGGCGGGGGAAATCTTTTTGCCCGGTTTAGAAACGGGGACCACCCCGTCACCCATTAAAAAAATTAGTTTGTAATTATATATAATATACATATTATAATTATAATTATATATTTTATTATAATATTAATAAAATTATATAATTATATATTATATTTATAATTACTATATACATTAATTAAATATAATTATAATTATATAAACTATATTATAAATATCTTAATATTATACTAATAATTATTATATAATATATAATTATAATTATAATATATGTGTATGTAATAATATATTATAATTATAATTATATTTAATATATAGTATACATTATAATTATATATTATATATTATATAATTATAATTATAATTATATATATTTATATTTATATTATAATATTAGTATAATTATATTTAATTATATATGTAATATTTAATTTAATAAGTTGCAAACTTGTAATAATGATATTATTGGTTGTATGTATTATATAATGTATATTAGTATATATAATATAATTGATATTATCTATTATACTAATAATTATATATATTTACTAATAAAATAATTAATTAGCTGTACTAAATTTACTAATACATTTAATTAGTGAAAATTTCTTATATCCCATTTCGAAAGAACCAACGAATCAAACATCAATTATAGTAATGATACACATTTATAGTACTGAACCAAACAAATGTATTGGAATGACTGATTTTATTTCAAATCCATAATGAATGATTCCAAATCCGAATTTGATTCCATTCAATATATAAGAAGTTCAAGAAAGGGTGAAAAGAATAGGGTTAACACAGGCCTATGCATACAATGACTTTGTATGTCCGGCGTCCGGACAAAGATTCTAAGCGTTATAAAGCACCAAGAAATGAAATCAGTGACAAAATCGATGAATAGAGTGGATAGTGAAAAATCAGGTAAACTATTGTTTTTGGTGCTAGTTTGTATTGTTGAAGAAGTCAGTAAATAGGCACATTAAAGCACGCTAGTTCTAGTCATTTCTGGATTAGGAAATGAAATTTTTAAATGTGCACTATAGTGATTAGCTACTTTTGTCTTTTTTCTTTTTCTTTTTTTTTTTTGGGAGGGGGTTCATTCTTGATCGTGAGCACGTCTCTTAGAAACTTATTCGACAAAATTTATGTTTTGGTGACAAATAATCGGAAAATATGTAGTTTTTGTACTATAGTATATATAGTGTTAGACTATTGGTTGCACCAAACATTTTTAGCTTCTATTTCCCTTCTTTTCTTTTAAACTTTGTTTTTCCTTAGCAAGTATATGCAAGCATATATGCATTTAACCATAAAGTTTATCTTATTAGAGAGTTTGGTTATGTAGAATAACGTATTGAATTTAAACTTATGATTCATAACTAGGGTATCATGTTTCATTTCAAGATCTAGGCAAAGTTATCGAGTTTCAACTTATGATTCAAAATTGGGACTCAAAGAAATAGATTATGGATGACCTCTAAATGTGATACTAAATTTTAATTTTTTAAAACTATTTTCTTAGCTTTGTCAAAAGAGATTTTTTTGGCATATTTATATGGCTCTATGAAGCTCAACTTACAATGAACTTTAGACTAATAATTAACATGATATTTAAAAGCACTCCTTTTACCCGGTTGAAAAGGAGTGGCTAAGGTTGAAATTATAAAAATTAGAGGTTTTAGGTTCAATTCTTTTCTTCCTCATTCTCCAGCTTAATTTTTTTCCATTTTTTTTGGAGGAGGGGAAGGGGAAGAACTTACAAACCCCTCGAAAGAAAAGCAAAACAAAAATTTTTTTTTTTTGGCGTCATTTGGAAGACAAAAGGAGATGTTATTTCAATAAATCTAACTCATCCTGAAATGTCTAATTCTTATATGTCAATTGTCTAGACTTCAAGTGTAATCCAATATGTGGGAAGATGAATATGTTTCTATGACAAACCAACCATAAAGCTAACAAACTGTACAACTCCTTTTCTGGATTCTCAAAGTATCAAATTGTACAATTCCATTCATGTTTTTATTCGTCTCATTAAGTTTTTTAACTTCACGAGTGAAGCTGTGGAATTTTTTTAATTTCAGGCGAAAGTGATGGAACTTTATCACTACAAAAGCTGTGAAAAGTATCTAAATTATACTTAACTTAGTATATGAATACACACAATTATAATTATTGCATACCCTATATTTTGATACTTTCTCAAATTAATACATCTTTTTAAAAAAAATTAAAACTTGATGTCTCTCTTAATGGGTGGTTATTGGTTACCCGTTAGCCAAACTAGAATATAATCAACATTGGTAGAAGAGAAAAACCCATATGTCACCTTGTTGATGTATTACTACCTTTCATTGTATGGGAAATATTTACGAAAATCAGCTGGATGCAGATTGCAAGGTTATATACTCTATAAAGAGAGGCGATACATCATTGCTGGTGACAAATATCAAGATTCGTATAACATCAATCTCCTAGATATGACTCTTTGACCCTTTTTGTAGGCTTCTTGTAAAGCATCACGAGACATATACAACAACCTGATGACATGTTTGCATTTACTTTTAACTTTGTCTAAGTTTGCACACTTTTGTTGATCTTTCTCAATGTTTGGGGAGAGGTATCAGTTAATTCACAAACTTTGGCATACCTAACATGGCTAGTATTCCAATTTATTGACAAAAAAGAGGATGAACTATTGCATAAAGTTGACAAGGAAATTAAGTTCCAGTTATGTCTCTTTTTATTTCCTTGTACTTGTAAGTTGGTGATTTAATATTTTAAAAATGAAACTGTACACGCTAAACTGATGCAAAGCTACGCTCCTAGTTTTTTTGAAATTTGGTAGTTTAATTATATTATAACCTATCATAAGGAATTATTTCATTCTTATTGTTAGTTTAAGCTTAGTGCCCAGAACTCATTATAAGCTTATTTTTTTTCTTCTGAAGTATGATGCAAGTTATTGAAAGGCACCGCCTATGTTCCGAGGACATTGGGAGGCAAGACAAGCATCCACCTCATCTCACGCAGGTAGTAAGTTCTCTAGTATTTTTGTCTAGAAATTAGCCTCTTGTAAGATTTTCAGGAGCGCTCCTGGAAATCTACAAACAACAACAGAAGTTCTTGGTTTTTCCATAATGTTAAATAGCTTCGAGTAAAGACATAAAAGAATTCTGCCATCTCTAATTGAACATAACTCAGTTTTAGCTGCTAATAATATGTGAAAATTAAATGAAAACCAACTAAAAAGGAGTTGAGAAAATACAAGCGAAGGAGAGAAACAAATGAGATATGATAGCATAATTATCATAATTCTCTTCTCGGCTGCATATATTTTTGCTTTAATTCTAATTGGAAAGGACATCTATGTTTCCTTTGTTAGCGGGAGAATCATACCCATGCCATGCTTGCTGAGGAAATCAAGGAGAAAACCGCAGAACTGAGGTACAATATTCTGCCATCAGATACCTTGTAGAGGATGGTTCGTTGTTTTGTGATACTTATGATGCGATCCCACGTGTAACAGGCATCTCAAAGGTGAAGAGCTAGTAGGACTGAGCATGGAAGACTTGGTTAAACTCGAAAAGTTGGTTGAAGCAGGGTTAAGTCGTATTGCCAAAACCAAGGTTCTTGTCATGTTTTGTCTTCTTTCAAGGTCTTTCAATTGTTGCATAGTGTTGATGTACTATGTTTTTTGGATTTCAGGGTGACAAATTCATGAAAGAAATTGGTATTCTCAAGAAAAAGGCGGGTGACAAATTACCCTTACCAGCTGTTTCTATTTGGTTATCTATCAATCATTTTCTGTTATTCTGCATTTCATCGCATAACAATATGGGAAATCTTCAATTTGAGAATCTGGAGATAAAAAAATGTTATTGGGCTTTCATAGTTTTGAAGATCATCTGTAACCGACAATAATGCTGTAGGAGCAATTTACTTAAGATTCCAATGGAATATAATTTGGTTGACTGCATTTAAATGTGTGTTCTTGGTTGCTAACTTATCTTCGCAAAATGAATTGTAGGAAGCATTATTAAAGGAAGAGAATGCAAAGTTGAGACAAAAAGTGCGTGACGTGAAAGTTTCCCTTTTCCTTTATTTCTTTGTTTCGCCCCTCTGCATGAGCATGCTGCAATCTTTGCTTTTCTGACTGATAATTGCAGGTAGCAGGCACATCGGAAGACGAAACACCTCTGCTGGAACAAGGGATTTCATCCGAGTCAGTGACCCGCTTAAGCGACCAAGCCGGAAGTTGTCCTCAGGACCTCAACAATTCGGACACATTTCTCCAGCTGGGGTATGTTTGTTTCAAGTCAAACATGGATCGGATAATTTGTTACAAGAATAAAACGAATTACATATATGGAATATAATATGTGAAATCTATCCAACATTTGGATCTTATATCTGGACGACATGCTGCATATCAGTTGAATGGGGGGCATCTCATTCTGTTTGGTTTTGCCACAACAGATGGCTAGTATTTAAGCAAGAAGAACAAAACGAAACTAAAGTAAGATTTCATTTTCAGAATGCATGATTCAAGGCCATGTGATCGTCTGGCAATGACGTGAAAAGAAAAGTGAAACAGCTAGTAAGCTATCACAAGGCAGTCTTTTTAATGCTCCTGGATTGAAGTTTTTCTTTAGTAGCATGGCAACTGCTAGCTATGTAGTGAGATTAGAGTCAGACAAATTCGAATGCACAAATTATTGTATGTGGAAAAAAGGGGAGGTTTGGAGAATTGTTGTTTGTTGGGCGTTAATGATGCGTTGTATGAATAGGTGTTTGCAGTTGCATAAAACAGAGCTAGCATGCATATAAGTTCCTTGGCAATCATTTCATAGAGAAACCTGTTTAACTTGGGGTTGAATTTTTGCAGCTTACCATGTCCCAACTGAATTGCAGGGAGGATGAGATTGCGGTCGCAGAAGATCGAATATATAATTTGAGCATAGCTGGGTCTATGATACCCAGAAATTGTAGTTTATGTTGCATTATTTTAAAAAAAAAAAATAACATGCATGTATGTCAGGCATGCAGTTCTCTGAGTACGTAGAGGCCTCCATGCTCTGAAATTTTCTTTGACGAACAAAAATGGCTCTATTAAACATTTCCAGATAGCTGGTATTTGTGTGTGTGTGTATATATATTTATATAGGTACAGATGAGGGATGTAATTTATGTTGAATTGCTTTGCAGCTTAAATAGTTTTCTGACAGCGTGATTAATGAAAGAAAAGTACATGTTTTTACACTTGCACTTAATTACCACGAAGAAATAAAGGAGGATGAGTATTAAAAAAGAAAGTTTGTTTATTTATAGATAAAAGGAAAGTTACTGGTTCGTCCATGACAATAATCGTAAAACACGAATGCTCCTGTTGTAATGCATCGTTTGAAAGCTCGCTAAGCACTTCATCGTGTAACTTAACAGATTTTTTTCCTTTTTTTTTTTTTTTTTTATGATAGTCGATGGTGTAGAGAAATGCTTAATTTAATGATTTTTTTTTGAGAGTACGTAGCTTAATGGAAATCGATCATTTGCGTACGCATGGCTTCGCTTTGGAAAATTTCTCGAATTCAGGCTTCTTATTTACAATTTCTCTCGTTTTATCACTTAACTCGACCCTTCGACTGACTGAAGTGTGTAACAGTGTAGTTTCCTATTTTGCGAGATAATTTTGGTTCAAATAATTATATACTATTTCTTTTTTTTTTTTTAAAAGATTTCTTACTATATTGGCTTTCAGAATTGTTTAAATAAGAACACACTTCCAATTTTCTAATCAAAATTCAATATGATATCAACTTCTAACAACAGAAACAATTGAAAAGTGTCAAATGTATACTTGGTTGTCCAAACATCTATCAAATGAAGCGGTGACTTGTAGCGAAAAGGCAGGAACGGTCACAGTGCCAATTCCTTTGACCGGCCTTCTAGGATTATTAGTTACAGTTTTCAAATCTCTTATTCTGAGTCCTTGTGATAATTATATTTAATGGCTTATGGCTATAAAGATGATTAGAAGAAAATATGATAATAATTTTACAGTCAGAAAAAACTAAAGAAAATGAATATAAAAGCAAAATAAGACCTTTATTGCATTATAAGCTGACAAGGAAAGGAAAAGCTAATAAAATTTCTAAAAAAAATGAAAATTGTTTTAACTTTTCTCATCAAACCAATCCTTTCTTTTTTATTTTTATATTTTTTTGGTACACGGCTTAAATCGATTCAGAACCATCGGATTCAATTTTGGATTTGATTTTTAATGAATCTGAATCGAATTAAGTCTTTTTTTGCCTTCTGAACCCGATTCCGGTTGTTCGGTTTAGTTTCGGTTTGGGCAAAATCTCCGGTTAAGTACCGGTTCAAACTTGAAACGTGGCCATGTCTGCATGAAGGTACAAGTACGGAAATCAGTGGCAGACCAGCAGATGAATACTCTGCATTCTAGTTAGGCTCCAGCTAAAGACCCGTTCCATCTCTCCCTCTCGATCAGTACTCCCGCGCTCTTCGTTACTTATTACTACCATTATTCTTCTCTATGACATTCCACCCCATCTTTTCAGCTTTCTCACACTAACAATCCCATCATTCCTGTCTCTCTTGATCCATCTCCCTCCTGCATTAATCTTTTAATCTTGCCATTATTAATTGATCCGAAATCAACTTTCCTCTGATCAATCAAGATGGACGAGGAGTATGATGTGATTGTTCTGGGCACCGGCCTCAAAGAATGCATTCTTAGTGGACTTCTCTCTGTTGATGGGCTCAAAGTACGTGCATTACTACTCCCTCTTAGGACAAACATCGTCTATAATTACCCAAGACAATGCATGCGAGTTCTAGTTCTGGTTGCTCACTAATTAATGCGTTATACAACTAAAATAGAACTGTCAGGACAAAAAAATATGTTGGACGCATTTTTAGATGGTTCTAGGATTGAATCTCTATTTCGTGATCTTTTTAATCTATAAATCTGTCAGATCTTAATATTTTCGGATGATTTACACCATTGCTTACATTATTTGTTGTCCCATTTTGGTATTCTACTCTTCTGTAAGAAAAGATGAGGTGATTTTCCAGTAAGTTTAGAAGTATTATTTGTTTATGCATGTTTGAGTAAGACTTTAATTGTACCAATGATATATTAAAGGGAAACGCAAATTTCCTCCTCTTCTTCCTTCTGGGGTGGGAATAAAGGCGGTTAATCAAGAATGAAACTTTTTATTTCCACAAACATCTCATTTTATGTAGTTCAAGGATACATGTTCTGGAGAATATTTCTTTTCCCATACTTTAGCATGGGAGAAAATAAAAAAAGGGTCTTTTCTGTATTAAGTTGCTTCTAAAACTGCAAATGGAATGTCTATTCTTAAGCCAGAAGCTAAGAATAGTGCGCTAGCCAGTAGTTTTAGGAGGTCTTCAAGGTATAACTCTCAATTCAGTATTACGCTTTGACCCCCTTAGCATTACATTTCACTGAAAATGGTAATCTCTGATTTTTAGCTATGCACATTCCAAACAGGTGTTACACATGGACAAAAATGACTATTATGGAGGAGAGTCCAGCTCCCTTAATTTGAATCAGGTAAAATGGAAGTTGTGTTGAAATTCGTATGCCTGCCTCTAGTGTCTCTCATATTAGCTCCCATATTTCAATGTCAAGTTGAATTGTGATCTTGCTGCACATATAATATCCATCTGATGTACCCTAACTTCTTCTGTTTAATAGCTTTGGAAGCGTTTTAGGGGTGATGAACAGCCTCCAGAAAAATTAGGCACAAGCAAGGAGTACAATGTTGATATGATTCCTAAGGTATACACTGTTCAATTGTCCCACCGACTCTCTTATATATGAATACAGCTTCAGGCTTCGAACAATATGCTGTCCCTGTTTGTCTTCATTCTGCAAAGGGTTTTGATTGATCAAAAAGAAGAATCTGAAAAACAAAACACATCTTGACCTCCAAAAGCGTTTTCCTTCCACCAACTGAAGCCAAAAGCAACGAGAAATACTCTACCACTTGAAATTTGAGGATGGGTCCATATATTGAATATTTTTGTAAGCATTTCAGTTTTTAATATCAGGCAGACAGGGCCTACATGATTTGAGAAAGACATGTTGAAGCAGAAATAATATGTCATCAACTGTAGATTTCCCAGTCCTACTGGCTACTGGCAATTTTCCGCGTTGTTTTCCATGTTTTGCTTGTTTGACATGCAACTGATGAAAGTTCTTCCTGTGTCCTTTGGTAGTTCATGATGGCTAATGGAGCTCTTGTTCGCGTACTCATCCATACTAATGTTACCAAATATCTAAACTTTAAAGCTGTAGATGGTAGCTTTGTGTACAACAAGGGGAAGGTATGCAACTCATAACAGCTTGTTTAGCCATAACACTTATCTGATTGTTTACAAAGGTCTTATTCTAGTAATTAAACTTGGATGTCAAAACATTTTTGATCTTTAGATTTATAAAGTGCCAGCAACTGATGTGGAAGCATTGAAGTCTTCGCTGATGGGACTCTTTGAGAAACGTAGACTTCGGAAGTTCTTTATTTTTGTCCAAGACTTTGAGGAGAGTAATCCAAAAACTCATGAAGGGATGGATTTGAACAAAATCACAGCAAGGGAACTTATCTCGTAAATTTCAATCCTTATTTGCTATTTTCTTCATTTTAGCTACTGGCTTAAGCTCATTAGCAAGAATTGCACCATCTCTACATTTTAATGTACATTGATCTTCAACTTTCTTTGCATTATCTGTGAGAAATTTTCAGGTCATTTGATAAAGTATAGGAATTTAAGACTCTGTAGGTTTAGTTGCCCATTGCAAAGCTTTGCTTTGGTAATTTAGTTACCGCAGCCAAAAAAAAAGAAAATGTACCATCTTTTTTTTAAACTATCAAATGCAACTAACTTCCACATCATATATTGCTACAAAGTAATTGTCACGGAACAATGTGGAAGCAAAACATTCTTATTGTACTACCTCATTGATTTTTGATTCTATAAGATCAAAGGAGTTGTTTTTGACCATTCTGTGTCTTCAAGCATAATGAAAAAGGTTCATAACTGCTTTTGCCATTAGGATACCTTTTTTTATCAACTGGTCCTACATACATCCAATGGCTGTGCTTTTCACATTGATGTGCGAATTGAACATTTGATGAACACTTGGGGTAGGGGATTTCCAACTGAAAAGGAAGGCATGTATATTGTAAAGAATTTGGTGTTGAAGTAATGGAAAATGATTTCTAGCCTCCCCATGTTGAAAGACTTAAAAGGGATAAGGCTCTGTCTTCCCTTCTTACACATTTTAGTGATGTATAGTAAAGCAGAATGCTTTTGAGTTTCATCTCACTAAATGCTTTACCAACAAACTTCTGAGCATAAAACATAGTGCAACTTCAGATATGTATTTTTGATCACACTGTTGATGCAGGAAATATGAACTTGAAGATGATACAATTGATTTTATTGGTCATGCCTTGGCACTTCAAATTGATGATGCTTATTTGGACCAGCCAGCCATGGCTTTTGTCAAGAGAGTGAAGGTATGAATTCGCATTCAATCTTTAGCCTTTCTCTCCATGCTCTTTGACATGCTTGAGTGTAACCTGGTGAATCATAATCCTTTGTAAAAGATACATTGCTTTTACGCTTATTATTTGCTTTGTAACCATATAAGAGAGTTGCATTCACCCACAGAAATAAGGGAGTAATATACAAGAACAATGAAAAATGCCAATTGAACTGTTTTTGGTCTTGTAACTTGTACACTGTTGAAGTTGAGTAGTAGTTATATGTTATTTAACCAACAAACTAAGTGCATGTGAAACTTTTGTCAAGAACGATGCACAACACAGTGATATTATGTTTCCCTAACACGATGAGGAAAGTATAGGAAAGTAGCTTATATCAGTATCACAGTTTCGCCTAGTATAACACAGATAATTGTAGATATTTTTCTCTTGTTGAAAAGTGCAAGATAGGAAGCCTAACTCTGGCCTTCAATCTCATAGGATCTATAAGTTTCAGGTTTTCAACCTCCTTAGAAAACTAGTAGTTTTTTGCAGTTGGCCTTTTGAATCTGGTGACGTAGTTACATTTCTTTTGAATGAAATCTAATTGCAGAGTTACAAGAATAGACAGATGCTTGGTGTGATTCTTTTAATAACAACCTTTTTTCCTTTCAAAAGCTATATGCAGAGTCTTTGGCCCGTTTTCAAGCAGGATCTCCTTACATCTATCCTATGTATGGACTGGGAGAGTTGCCTCAGGTTTGTCCTAACTCATAAGTTGAGAACCTTCTCCATTCTGTTAGCCTTTCTGATACATGCATCAAAATTTGCAGGCATTTGCACGTCTGAGTGCAGTTTATGGTGGGACGTACATGCTTAACAAGCCACAGTGTAAGGTATTTATCCAGATCTTTTGTGTATCCTGAAACCCTTCCTATCTATCAAATTTTGTACTGCAATATTTTGGGGTCAAGATTTTTATATATGATATTGAGTATATGAATGCCTCTTCAAAGAGAAATTAGAGTAGATGTCATCTTGTATTGGTACTTTTCAGTGCAGTACTTCTTTCCTCCGACAAGAAGGTAGGTCTCTATCTTGGAAATCAACTTGCTCAAATTTGAGACCTTTTACACCTGCATCTTGTATACTTAGTGTGGTCTCTGGATTGCAGGTAGAGTTTGATGCAAATGGAAAAGCTTATGGTGTGACCTCAGAAGGAGAAACTGCTAAGTGCAAGAAAGTTGTTTGTGATCCATCTTATCTAAGTGAAAAGGTAACCTCAAACAACAACTTATTTTTCTGCCCGTGTATTTTTGGTTCGTGTCTCAGAATCCAAGTGCGCAAATGTCTGACTCCAATGATAAATACCTTTCATATTTCTGCATCATTATTTTGTGGCACTGAGTTGCTTTGGAAGCGAATGCAAATAACAGGTAAAGAAGGTTGGAAAAGTTGCGCGTGCTGTATGCATAATGAGCCACCCCATTCCGGACACAAATGATTCTCACTCATGTCAGGTCATTCTGCCACAGAAGCAACTTGGTCGTAAATCAGATATGTATGTTTTTTCCTTCTTTTCTCTTTCTGTTATTCAAATGCAAATCACACACGTAGATGACAAGCACCTCCTATTCTTCTTCACTTGTTATCATACCCTAGGAGTATGTACTTCCAATCCTGTTCCTTGCCACATTTCTAGTCTTTCAGAAATAACAGCCTATTCTTCTTTGGAAGAAGCACTGAGACAGGAACTTTTATTAGTTTCACGATTTAGCAAATATTTTGTGACCAAAAGGCATTTCCAGTTTCTCAAGTATATTTTCTTCTCATTCAATCTTAGCTTTGAATCAGAGCTTGTCAAGGTTTCAACAACTTCTTCGAGTGACTATAGGAGAAAGAGCCTCAAACTTCTAGCCATCGTGGCATTCTCCTCACTAAGAAGTTATTGAGCATCAGTTTATGATGCTTTTCAGAAAATACGAAGAATTGGATATCTTCCACAGATAAAATGTAACAAAAATAGTAGAAACAACCAAGAAGGTAGAATATAAGAACAACATGAGACATTCATTTCCTTGGATATTCTGAACGATTACTTCTCCAGGTATCTGTTTTGTTGCTCATATGCTCACAATGTTGCTCCAAATGGGAAATACATTGCATTTGTTGCAACTGAAGCTGAGACAGATGATGCACAAGCTGAATTGAAGCCTGGCGTTGACCTACTTGGACCTGTAGACGAGATATTTTATGAAACTTATGATAGATTTGAACCTACAAACTGCCCTGATGCTGATGGTTGTTTCATATCCAGCGTAAGTGAAAAGTCATTTGCCTTTCGTCATTAGACAGACATATGATTGATATACATATTTTATTACTACTCTTCTTACAAGAAGCTTAGACATCTGATGCTAAGTTGCAACCTGTGTCCATCATGTTTCGGGATGTCAGCTTTCACAGGGGATGTATATCTTTTGTGCTTCTGCATTGCTCAGAAAGCAAACTCTCATTTTTTTTTCCTTTTCGTTTAATTGCGAATTGAGAAAATATTGGCGCTGAAAATAACTTGAATTCGTTTAGTCGATAGGGCTGATTTTGTATCCGCTATCCAGGCAAACTGAATATTTGGGCTTCCTTGAGGTTTAATATTGTCACTGATCAGAGAAGCTACGCTTAATTCTTGCAGAGCTACGACGGAACAACGCATTTTGAATCTACGGTTGTGGATGTAATATCCATGTACAGCAAAATAACTGGAAAGGTGAGTTCTTGGTACACAACTGAACCCTTTCACGAATCTTTTTTCAGGAATCAAGAATTTTGCCAGAGTCACTAGAGCACAGGATGCATTATTATTGCTGACAATAGCAAGTTAAGGCACTCATGATTTGAATGTAGTAGTTCAACATTCGATGAAGCAAATGATCATTTTTCAGAGAAGATTGCACAGAAACCTTCTGCTTTGAAACATCTTGTTCATTGCACAGAAATCTAGTATTCTCTATGAAGAAGTAGGCATACAAGTTAAACTTCATTGATATCTGATCGTTGTTGTAGGCTCTCGATCTGTCTGTGGACCTCAGTGCTGCAAGTGCTGCTGCTGCTGAAGAATGAGCAGTTATTGTCCAAATCAGCAGAGAACTGCAAGTGCTGCTTGCTAGCTAGCTGGAAATTTTGCTTATCTATCATTATTAACTCTTATCCCTCATTTAAGCAATACCTTGGAAATTGGGATTTGTAGTTTTGAATTTCATTTGGCTCCTGCCCTTCATTAACGTCATCATGGTTTCTGCCACCATAGAAATACCGCTTAATTAGGCTCCCGCGTGAAGGATTTTGCTAAGACGAGTAACAGCCTTTTTGGTGCATTTTTTTTTTTTTTTGTTTGAGAGTTTCAACTTTTTTTTTCTGTCTTTAAAGAGTAGGGGAAGCAAAAAAAACTTTTAGCTATGAATTTAGCTTTTGCTATGAATTTGTTTCTACTTCATCTCCAATTCCGTGATAAATGCCTCTTGAGTTGTATGTTGATCCCTCCTTCCTTTTTTTTTTTTGAGCTTTTTTAATTTCTATTTGTAAAAACAAAAAAAAGATTGGTTTGAAAAACTATTTGTAAAATTAATTATTTGATTAGTAGTGGTTTTGTGGGGATATATGAACTAACTTTAATAGTCATTTATGGATTTAGTATTTTGAGGATGAAATTGAGTTGTTCTATGAAGGAAAAATGCATGGAGTATCAATCTTCTAATGGACATCTGTATTATATCCATTTGAATTGTTTCATAAATAATCAATCTTCTAGAGAAACTAAATGGACATCCGTATCCATTTGACTAATTTTGTTTGGATAATCAATTATTTATACCATTTTATTATCATCACATTTTTCTTCCATCATATAAAAAAGAAGCGCTATATAATATTTTTTTAAAAAAAATTATTTCAAATAATTTACTAGAAATAATTTACTATCCGAACATTAAAACCCTCGTTCACCCTCCCAATTTCTAACTACCCAAACATTCAAACTTAAAGCCCTCGTTCACCTTGCTATTTTCTAACGTACCAAAAGGAAGCGGAAAAAAAAAAAATCTACTTTCCTCGGCAGTGATCACTTCTCCAATGGTGAAGCCGAGCAAGAGCAGCAGCAACAAAAGCAACAACAATTCAATCAACAAGAATAAATTATCGGTCTATGATTTCGACTGCGAAGACCATCAGGTCGAGAAGGATTCCCAAAAAATTCTGTCAAAATTCAAAACAAAAATCCCTAACTTCAACCAAAACAAATTCTCCTATTCTCCTGTCGATAAATACTGCTTCCTCCGATCCTGTACGTTCCCGGCCTAGACTATTGCCTTTTTTGGGTCATATATTTTATGATATATATCAATGTTTTCTGAAGAATTTTTTCTTTTGGAATTCGGATGTGGAGACATTATTGTTTTGATTCTTATCTGATTTTCTTTTCTTTCTTTCTTTCTTTTTTTTTTTTTTGGTGTTGACTTGTGTGGTAATATTTTGGTATACAATTTTGCTTGTGTCTAATGTAGTTACTGGAAAGCTCGTAAAAGGCTGGGCTCAGTAAAGCCCAAACTCACACCGGGGGTTTTTTCAGTGCAAATAAGTTTTTTAATTCATTTGCATTTCTCTGAACTCCGGGGAGGGGATTATTACTGGCAATTTTGAGGACATCACGATGAGTCTATTTGCGTAGCTTAAGCAATTAAATGCCATCAAGGATGATGTTATTATGCAGAAACTATTGATTTGAACTACTAATGGTATGAAACTTGTTACCCCTTGGATAAAATTGAAAAAATATGAAACTTTTTGGGGCAAGTTTGCAATTTTGGACAAGATTTTAGAAAAATTTTGAATTTTAACACAAGTCCAATATTTGCAACTAATAATTCAATCACATACAATATATATAATCTCAATTCTCCCCCCACTTAACATACACATTGTCCTCAATGTGTAAAAAGGAAAATCAAGATAAAGAAAGTAATACTCCCCTATGATGTGATTGAATATGAAGCTTCAAAATCCATTGTCCGTGTATCTCCAACGCTTCATGAGTTTCATTGGATAACCATTAGTGATGTAATCCTAAAAATGAAAAATAAGAAACAAAAGTGATAACAAAGGCTTAATAAAACAAAACGGCGATCCGTAATTTCAAACCTTTGTTTTGGTGATGTACCTATATACAATATACAATAAGCAACTCAAGGTACAAGAAAATATATGAGGAAAAGAAGAAAAAAGAGAATCAAGGAATCTGCATTTTTTTTTCTCCGAAAACGCGACTCATCAAAACGCGCACCAAGCCGCGTTTTATGAAGTCGCGTTTCTTCACATATCTTGCAGGATCGAAAACGCGACTATGCTTAAAAACGCGACTTTGAGTCGCGTATTTGAAGTCGCGTTTTTGGTTTCTGAACAGGCTGGAAAACGCGACTTGTAGAAAACGCGACTTCCTGTCGCGTTTTGAAGTCGCGTTTTCTTCAGTATAGGCGCAGAATTTAAAACGCGATTATGGAAAACGCGATTCTAAGGCGCGTTTTCAGCCCAAGTGCGTTTTCTTCTGCGAAATTTTTGCAGAAAGCCAATTTTGAAAAATTACCATTTGTACCCCAATCACTCAAAATGCATCATAGATCATTTGTTTGCTAAAATTCTCAATGCATGCACATGTAAAATGATCAAAATATGCATTTTAACCCCTTCTAACAAATCAAAAACAACAATTACTCAAATTGAGGGGTTGAGTTCCTTGATCAAATTTCGCCTTTTTACCTCATTTGGTCACTTTTGCTTCCATTTCCAATACCTACAAATGAAAATAACAAAATAACTCAAACACATACTTTAAACATAAAATCACCCCAAAATAACATAAACTTAAACAAACATTGGGTTGCCTCCCAATAAGCGCTTCTTTATAGTCAATAGCTTGACTATTTCACCTCATTTTTCAAGGAGGCTTAGTTAACGAATAATCCACCATTTTTGGCGTGGTGGATCATTAAATGGTGACTTTATAGCAAAAGTCACATGATCTAATGATAGGAGAAATGGAATTGACTTACCTATCCCAAGTGTTTCATAAATATTACCTTGAATATGCACCACTTGAGAACTTACCAAAGAATGCATGAGAGTATCTTGGACAGCAATACCCTTAGAACCTACTTTCAATGCACTCCTCAAGAGGGGTGAAAAATGAGTCATTAAAACTCACCTCTTGAGGCTCAAAGTTAGTTCCAAAGATATTATCTTGTGAAATGGATATTTGCTCATTAAAACACAATTGAAATTCATCATTTTCATCAAATGCAATCCATTTTCACATACAACATTCCACCATTCATGCTAGGATCATTTTGCAAATTTTTAGAGAAATAACTTCACACAATGCATTCAATTTCTCTTGTATTCTACTAAAGTGAGAAGTCAATTCATCTATTCTTTTCAACCTATCAAAACGGTTGGAAGTTGCATTAGCTAATTTTTCTAAAGCTAACTCCCAAGATGGCTTAGAATCATTAGCTACCATTTCAATTGCCAACTCCCAAGATGGTTTTGATTCATATTGGACACATTCAGGTTGGTAATCATAAAAATATGAAGAATTACTATAAGTACATTGATTATCCAACCATAAGCAGAGAATTGCTCAATTAGCACTATATTGATCAAAACAAGGATTGTAATGCTCTAATTCATCATAATAATCCACATTTTGTGCTTGCATACATGTATTAGTTGCATGATAACCTCCACACAAGTCACAAATCACATGATAAGAATAAAATCATTAACATTCCTCCCTTGCTCAATTTCATGCATAATTGTGTCCATCATAACATCAAATTTTGCCTTTAAGCACCTTAAACCATCTTCAAAAGACATACCTCAGTAATTTCTTGTTACCTCTGTTGAAGGAGCTTTGCACTTGGTAACCATCCATTGCCAATCTTCATTTCAAGCTTGTCCTCCAAATTGACTATCCTCCTCATCACCTAAAATTGCTTTTAAACAACTTAAGAGCAAAATTAGTAAGAAGAATAGGTGATAAAACATACACATATAAAATACTAAAATACAGAAAATAACATTCACAATATAACTAATATATGTCTAAACTAATAAAGTTGCTCTTCACACCGATATTGCCAAATCTTCCCCGGCAACGGCGCCAAAAACTTGACGGGTATTTTACATACGTGCAAGCTAAAAAATACCGAATTACACCCGTTCACTGCAAGTATACAGATCAACTAGTAGTTTAGGGTATATATCGGGTCGATCCCACAGGAAGAGTGAACAATTACCGGTATTACTAAAGTTTCTTTATTATTTAGACTATCAATGAATATAAGAAATTTAACCTACTGCACTTATACAAGAAATTAACAAATAAAAGCTCCTTAGGTTGTGGTATCCCTAACTACTCATGCAAGTGTTATATTTGGATCATTGAATACTACATCTAGGCTAATTATGGTGTAATTTCCTTATGCATTTGAATCCTACTTTCGTAGTGAATCAATTATACTTATAACTAATCCATACCTATTCTCATGGTTATGAAATTAGCTACAAGTTCATTTCTTCAGTGAAATTACATGAAATGAATCACTAAAAACCACATAGGTGCACCTCTACTTTCGTGAGTGTACTCCCTATGTTTAGCACTTCTTGAACTAATGTTAAATCTCAATTTTCATTGCAGAAATAACACCTTAGATAATCACAATTAATGGTACCAGATTAATCATGATTTAAAGAGTCAAAGTGCTAAATAACTTGCTCAAATATAGCAATCAAATAACCAAATAATAAATACTAACAATCATAGAAAGTTCAACCAAACCCAAGGTATAAACTTTAAAGACACATATTAAATATAAAATCCAGAACTTGTATATTAGCTAAACTTGGAATCAAATACAAAAGATAAAGAGTTGGAAAGGAAAAATAACCCTTGTCACATGAGCTTTCCTTGCCTTCTTCATCTCCATTTTCATCCTAATCTAGATATATACAAGAATGGATGAACTACTACTCTACTAACTATACTACACTAATCTAATACTAAGAGAATGGAAAAACTACATTTCTGCACTTCCAAGCTTCTCCCGTATGCTCTGCATGTCCTGGTTGCTCCCTATATAAACTGCTCCAAAAGCTCCTTTTCCATTGGTCCAAACTTGCTGCATTTGATTTCCAAATCTGAAATTGTTAAGATAGTCAATAGCCATTGTTTTTGACTTGAAAATATGCCAACTTTCTTGCCCTTTTGTCTTCTAAAGCATGTGCACCGAATTCTCTTGCAGATTGTAGCTGGAAAGTAGTCAGAACACAAGAGAATTGACTGAGCAAAATTGCAGAATT